CTCTCCTGCCCTCACCCCACTCCAGCAGCTCATGGAGAACCGTCCACTCCTGCTGCCTGCCCCCATCCACGGCCTGAACCCCACTGCTGGCTCACACCCACATCCCACTGTCCCAGCTCAGCAGCCCACGCAGCAGCCCCCACCAGCGACGTCAACCCCCTCCCCGATCCCCAAAGCCCCCCCAATGCACATGACCATCACAGTGATGAGTTTGGCAGCACTCAGCCCCACACAAAGGCGTTGTCCCTCTGGTTCCCAAAGCTGCTGTGACCCACGCCAAGGCTGGGGCGGTGGTGGTGGACACAACCCAGGTGACGACCCCCTGGGGTCTTCCTGGCCCACTCCTACCTGTCCATGAGGCTGCACGGGATGGGGTCTGCGTGCCGGGACAGGGACGGGGACGGGGACAGTGACGGGGACAGTGATGGAGACAGTGACGGGGACTGCACGGCCCAGCGCCCAGCACACGGAAGCGAAAGCAGCACGTCAGCAGGGGAAGGAAATGCCCCAGGACCTGCCGGGGGCTCAGTCAACTTGCCACCCCCTGTGCCCCCCAGATCCTGCCCCGTGGCAGGGAGCTGGGAGGGATGGGACAGGCTCCCAGCACACGGAAGCGAAAGCAGCACGTCAGCAGGGGAAGGAAATGCCCCAGGACCTGCCGGGGGCTGAGTGAACTTGCCACCCCCTGTGCCCCCCAGATCCCAGCACCCATGGCAGGGAGCTGGGAGGGATGGGACAGGCTCTCCCCTTGTCCCCCAGGGTGGGCTCGCTGCATCCCGGGGCACGCACTCACCTTTTGGGGGGGGCTCCAAGCGAATACCCCGGGGCAGGATTTGGGCCGGTTCCCACCCAAGCGAGTGGAACCGGGGCTTTCCACAGCGGCAGGCTGCCAGCCATGCTGTCACGGCCCGCTCGTCAGGCCGGGCCCAGGGCCATGCCTGCTCCCGTCCACCCTGCCAGCCCCTCAGCCCGTGACAAGAGCCCTGAGGGGACACTGGGTCAGCCCCACCATGGGGGTTTGGGTGCCGGGATGGGAGACCCCCACTGGGACATCCCACTGTGGGGTCTGCTCACCCGCCCGCATCCCCTCGGAGAGTTGTTGCCATCCGTGTAGGGGACACGTCTGTGGTCCCCATGGCCGTGACCTCCCCAGAGACCTGCCTGGTGGCATCAGGCCACAGGGGGGTCATACACCCTGTGCTGGCCAGCGAGGACACGAGTCCCCTGGGACCAGGAACTCCATCTCCTCCAGCTGACATGGCACAGTGTGGCACATCACTGAATTTCACTGAATTTTTTTAGAGTTGGAAGGGACCATAGAGATCATCTAGTGCAACTCCCCTGCTGAAGCAGGATTGCCTAGAGCATGTTAGAGCATGTTACTCAGGAGCATCCAGGCGGGTCTTGAAAATCTCTAAAGAAAGGGACTCCATGACCTCCCTGGGCAGCCTGTTCCAGGGCTCTGTCACCCTCACTGTGAAGTAGTTTTTTCTCATATTTGAGTGGAACCTCTTATGTTCCAGCTTGTGCCCGTTGCCCCTCGTCCTCTCGCTGGGAACCACTGAAAAGAATCTGGCTCCCTCCTCCTTCAACCCACCCTTTCACTGAATTTCACTGAATTTTTAGAGTTGGAAGGGACCATAGAGATCATCTAGTCCAACTCCCCTGCTAAAGCAGGACGACCCAGAGCTTGTCAGAGCATGTTACTCAGGAGCATCCAGGCGGGTCTTGAAAATCTCCAAAGAAGGGGACTCCACACCCTCCCTGGGCAGCCTGTTCCAGGGCTCTGTCACCCTCACCGTGAAGAAGTTCTTCCTCATATTCAAGTGGAACCCCTTATGTTCCAACTTGTGCCCATTGCCTCTTGTCCTCTCACTGGCAACTACTGAAAAGAGTCTGGCTCCCTCCTCCCTCAGCCCGCCCTTGAGATACTTGCAGGCATTAATAAGGTCTCCCCTCAGCCTTCTCTTCTCCAGACTAAAGAGCCCCAGCTCTCTCAGCCTTTCCTCATCAGGGAGATGCTCCAACCCTTGAATCATCTTTGTAGCCCTACGCTGGACTCTCTCCAGCAGTTCCCTGTCTCTCTTGAACTGGGGAGCCCAGCACTGGACGCAATATTCCAGTTGTGGCCTCCCCAGTGCAGAGCAGAGGGGGAGAATGACCTCCCTCCACCTCCTGGCCACACTCTTCCCTACGCAGCCCAGGATCCCATTGGCCTTCCTGGCCACAAGAGCACACTGCTTGCTCATGGTCATTTTGCTGTCTACCAGGACCCACAGATCTTTCTCTTCAGAACTTGTCTCCAGCAGATCCTCGCCTATCATGGCACAGTGTGGCACATCCCGGCACAGTGTGGCACATCATGGCACACTGCACCAACCACCGCAGCCCCAGGGGACCATCCAGGGACAAGCCAGCTGCTGGGGCTGTCCCTCCTGCCACCATGTCCCTCCAGGCTGGGGCTGGAGGTGACCCAGGGCTGTTTGTGCCAGGCGACAGCAGGGGATGAGGCACCTCCATCTCCCCTTTCCCCCAGCTCTGTGTCCCTGTGCCCACCTCCCCTGCCATCCCCACGGCCCCGGTGACACCACAGCCATCCCCTTCCCCAGGCCACCCTCCTCCAGCCAGCTTACCCGGGGGGGACGGTGGCCCGGGCACCGAGTCCGGACCCCCGCTGTGTGCCGGGTCGGTTGAGGTTGTTGAGCCCAGGCAGCGGTATCCCGCTGGGCACGCTCTGGCTGGGGGCAAACGCCCCTCCGGCCACCCGCAGCCCCTCACCCTTGGCCGTGCCACCCGCCATCGCCCCCGTCCCCGTCCCCGCCGGCCAGAGAGCCCCCCCGGCGAAGGTGCTGCTCTGGCGGACGGCACCCGGGTAGAGCTTGCGGCGTTGGGAAGCCAGGATGGCGTTGGAGGCGGCGCGGGTGCTGTTGACCAGCAGGCACTGAGGGCAGGAGCAAGGTGTCCCCGTGCTGGTCCCCACCGGCCACGACTGCGACTTGGGGATGGAGCCCATGGTGAGGGGGTAGGCCAGGTCCATGCGACGCCGGAGCCGGCGCTTGCGTTGGGTTTGCCGGTTCATTTGGGACATGCTGCTGAAGTAGATGAGGTAGCAGAAGCCCAGGGAGGAGAGGTCCAGCCAGGGGTGCTGCTTCTCGTAGGCGTTCTGGATGGTGATGCAGATGTCCATGTCGTAAGGGGTCCAGGAGTTGTTGTCGTTCTCCCACTCCCACACGATGCCCTTCCCCGGGGCCGAGGACGGGTCATAGAAGTTCCTCCGTACGGGGCGCATGGTCCCTGGGGAGACAGGGGTGGGGGGGATTGAGCCCCCACAGGGCTCCAGCACCCCAGGAGGTGGGACCTATGTTCATACACACACGTATGTCCAGTTCCCAGCCCGGCACCCCACAGGGATGAGGATGCAGAGGCACTTTGGGGGTGCAAGCAGGCTCTCTCCCCCCTCTACAAAGTGCCCCGGGGTGCAGAGGGGTGATGGCCACCGGCTCCCCAGCAGCCCCTGCCTCCCCCTCTGCCGAGCAGCGGCGGCGTGCGACGGATCGATCGGTGTGTCTGCGGGGCTACACCTCCCCGGGGACTCCTCAGGCTTCAACAACCCTCCATCAGCGGTGGCGGCTTGGCCCTCGGCCATGCTGCTGGCAGTCGGGATCATGGCCCTGGCTGCCACAGGAAGGGAGATGCTGCTCAACACTCCCCCCCCCAGCACCTTCTTCCATCCCTCTGGTCCAGGCCCGTGTCCGCCCTCCCCGGCCAGGATCCCCTCGCCATTCCCGGAGCATTTCCCGGTCAGGAGAGGTTTCCTGACAGCTGCTGCGGCTCCGGCTGGAGCTGGCAGTCACAGGAGAGAGGTGTTGTCCCCTGTGCACGGCCAAATCCTGGCCCCTCGCTGCCTGTTTGCGACCCAGTCGGATGCTAAAGCCACCCCTGAAGCTCTGCGGTTGGGGGGGAAGCATCACAGCCCCCTCCTTGAGCCGCAGCCCTGGCAGTGCCCCTGCAGCGCGGTGCCTTCCTATCCCCTCGCCAGCACCGTTTGCCCAGCCCGATTAACGACGCTAATAACGGTCATTAATCATCGGCCGCGGCAGGGAGCAGAGCCTGGGCCCAGCTGCCGGCTTCTGCTGAGGCAGCTCCTCCGGCGGCCCCGCGGGAGGGGGGCAGGGAGGATGCTCATCCCATGGGGAATGGCCCATCCTGCTGCCCGCTCCGGCCCCCATCCCCAATCCCGCTGCCCGCTCACCTCCATGTCCCACCTCCCGCTCACGTCCACATCCCGCTCGCGTCCGTGCCCTGCATCCCGCCTGTGATCACATCCGCGCCTGCCTCCTTGCCTCCATAGCCCCCATCCTGCATCCCGCATCCCGCTCGCATCCATGTCCCGCATCCCACTGCTCCTTCCAGCTGCCTCCCATGTCCCCTGGTCCTTGTAACTGCATCCTGCATCCCACTTTCCCTTGCAACTGCATCCCTTGTCCTGACTGCATCCTGCATCCCACATCCTGCATCCCACATCCCACATCCCACATCCCGCTCACATCCATGTCCTGCATCCCACTTTCCCTTGCAGCTGCATCCATATCCCACTGACCGACTGCAGCTGCATCCCTGCATCCCGCATTCCGCTCACCTCCATGTCCCGCATCCCACTGGTCCTTGTAGCTCCATCCTGCATCCCACATCCCGCTCACATCCACGTCCCGCATCCCACTGGTCCTTGTAGCTCCATCCTGCATCCCACATCCCGCTCACATCCACGTCCTGCATCCCACTGGTCCTTGCAACTGCATCCCATGTCCTGCTGCCTGACTGCAGCTGCATCCCGCATCCTCCATCCCGCATCCCGCTCACATCCACATCCCGCATCCCACTGGTCCTTCCAGCTGCATCCCGCATCCTGCCGGTCCTTGCAGCTGCATCCCATGTCCCGCTGCCTGACTGCAGCTGCATCCTGCATCCATCCCGCATCCTGCTCACATCCATGTCCCGCATCCCACTGGTCCTTCCAGCTGCCTCCCATGTCCCCCTGGTCCTTGTAACTGCATCCTGCATCCCACTTTCCCTTGCAACTGCATCCCTTGTCCCGCTGCCTGACTGCATCCCACATCCCACATCCCACATCCCACATCCCGCTCACATCCATGTCCCACATATCACTGGTCCTTGCAGCTGCATCCCGCATCCTGCCAGTCCTTGCAGCTGCATCCCATGTCCTGCTGCCTGACTGCAGCTGCATCCCGCATCCTCCATCCCACATCCCGCTCACATCCATGTCCCACATATCACTGGTCCTTGCAGCTGCATCCTGCATCCTGCCAGTCCTTGCAGCTACATCCCATGTCCTGCTGCCCGACTGCAGCTGCATCCCGCATCCCACATCCCGCTCACATCCATGTCCCACATATCACTGGTCCTTGCAGCTGCATCCTGCATCCTGCCAGTCCTTGCAGCTACATCCCATGTCCTGCTGCCCGACTGCAGCTGCATCCCGCATCCCACATCCCGCTCACATCCATGTCCCACATATCACTGGTCCTTGCAGCTGCATCCTGCATCCTGCCAGTCCTTGCAGCTACATCCCATGTCCTGCTGCCCGACTGCAGCTGCATCCCGCATCCCACATCCCGCTCACATCCATGTCCCACATATCACTGGTCCTTGCAGCTGCATCCTGCATCCTGCCAGTCCTTGCAGCTACATCCCATGTCCTGCTGCCCGACTGCAGCTGCATCCCGCATCCCACATCCCGCTCACATCCATGTCCCACATATCACTGGTCCTTGCAGCTGCATCCTGCATCCTGCCAGTCCTTGCAGCTGCATCCCATGTCCTGCTGCCCGACTGCAGCTGCATCCCGCATCCCACATCCCGCTCACATCCATGTCCCGCCTCCCAATGCTCCTTCCAGCTGCATCCCGCATCCTGGCAGTCCTTGCCCTTCCAGCTGCATCCCGCATCCTCCCTCGCAGCTGCATCCCGCATCCTCCATCCCGCATCCCGCTCACATCCACATCCCGCATCCCACTGGTCCTTCCAGCTGCATCCCGCATCCTCCCTCCAACATCCCGCTCACATCCATGTCCCGCCTCCCAATGCTCCTTCCAGCTGCATCCCGCATCCTCCCTCCAACATCCCGCTCACATCCATGTCCCGCCTCCCAATGCTCCTTCCAGCTGCATCCCGCATCCTCCCTCCAACATCCCGCTCACATCCATGTCCCGCCTCCCAATGCTCCTTCCAGCTGCATCCCGCATCCTCCCTCCAACATCCCGCTCACATCCATGTCCCGCCTCCCAATGCTCCTTCCAGCTGCATCCCGCATCCTCCCTCCAACATCCCGCTCACATCCATGTCCCGCCTCCCAATGCTCCTTCCAGCTGCATCCCGCATCCTCCCTCCAACATCCCGCTCACATCCATGTCCCGCCTCCCAATGCTCCTTCCAGCTGCATCCCGCATCCTCCCTCCAACATCCCGCTCACATCCATGTCCCGCCTCCCAATGCTCCTTCCAGCTGCATCCCGCATCCTCCCTCCAACATCCCGCTCACATCCATGTCCCGCCTCCCAATGCTCCTTCCAGCTGCATCCCGCATCCTCCCTCCAACATCCCGCTCACATCCATGTCCCGCATCCCAATGCTCCTTCCAGCTGCATCCCATGTCCCCCTGATCCTTGCAACTGCATCCCACATCCCGCTGCCCGACTGCATCCTGCATCCCACATCCCACATCCCACTCACATCCATTTCCTGCATCCCACTTTCCCTTGCAACTGTATCCCATGTCCTGCTGCCCGACTGCATCCCGCATCCCACATCCCGCTCACATCCACATCCTGCATCCCACTGGTCCTTGCAGCTGCATCCCATGTCCTGCTGCCTGACTGCAGCTGCATCCTGCATCCCGCATCCTGCATCCTGCATCCCACTCACATCCACATCCCGCATCCCACTGGTCCTTGCAGCTGCATCCCGCATCCTGGCAGTCCTTGCAGCTGCATCCCATGTCCTGCTGCCCGACTGCAGCTGCATCCCGCATCCCACATCCCGCTCACATCCATGTCCCGCATCCCAATGCTCCTTCCAGCTGCATCCCATGTCCCCCTGATCCTTGCAACTGCATCCCACATCCCGCTGCCCGACTGCATCCTGCATCCCGCATCCCACATCCCACTCACATCCATTTCCTGCATCCCACTTTCCCTTGCAACTGTATCCCATGTCCTGCTGCCCGACTGCATCCCGCATCCCACATCCCGCTCACATCCACATTCTGCATCCCACTGGTCCTTGCAGCTGCATCCCATGTCCTGCTGCCTGACTGCAGCTGCATCCTGCATCCATCCCGCATCCCGCATCCCACTCACATCCATGTCCTGTGTTCCACTGGTCCTTGTAACTGCATCCTGCATCCCGCTTTCCTTTGCAACTGCATCCCTTGTCCTGCTGCCCGACTGCATCCTTCATCCCACACCCCGCTCACGTCCATGTCCCACGTTCCACTGGTCCTTTTAGCTGCATCCTGCATCCCACTTTCCTTTGCAACTGCATCCCTTGTCCCGCTGCCCGACTGCAGCTGCATCCTGCATCCCGCATCCTGCTCACATCCATGTCCTGCATCCCACTGGTCCTTACAGCTGCATCCCGCATCCTGCCAGTCCTTGCAGCTGCATCCCATGTCCCGCTGCCCGACTGCAGCTGCATCCTGCATCCATCCCGCATCCTGCATCCCGCATCCTGCTTACATCCATGTCCCGCATCCCACTGGTACTTCCAGCTGCATCCCATGTCCCACTGGTCCTTGTAACTGCATCCTGCATCCCACTTTCCCTTGCAACTGCATCCCATGTCCCTCTGCCCGACTGCAGCTGCATCCCGAATTCCCACATCCCGCTCACATCCATGTCCTGCATCCCACTGGTCCTTACAGCTGCATCCCGCATCCTGCCAGTCCTTGCAGCTGCATCCCATGTCCCGCTGCCCGACTGCAGCTGCATCCTGCATCCCACATCCTGCATCCCACATCCTGCATCCCACTCACATCCATGTCCCGTGTTCCACTGGTCCTTGTAACTGCATCCTGCATCCCACTTTCCTTTGCAACTGCATCCCTTGTCCCACTGCCCGACTGCAGCTGCATCCTGCATCCCAAATCCCGCTCACATCCATGTCCTGCATCCCACTGGTCCTTGTAACTACATCCTGCATCCTGCTGGTCCTTGCAGCTGCATCCCATGTCCCACTGCCCGACTGCAGCTGCATCCTGCATCCCACATCCTGCATCCC